CTGGTCCTGCCCCTGATAGGGTGGGGGGGTTGATCTGGGGTGGGGCCAGGCAGGGGGAGGGCTGCAGGAGGTTGGCTGGCCGGCCACACCCCCTATTGGGGTGGGAGGAGCGATCAGGGGCAGGGCCAGCCAGGGGTAGGGGCTGTGGGCCTATCAGGGTGGGGTGGGACACTCAGGGGTGGGGCTGGCTGCGTTGAAGGGTGGGGGGATGGGGAGTTTTGGCTGGCTGTCCTCTACCTTGATTGGGGTGGGAGAGTCCAATCAGGGGCTGGCCAGCCAGGGGAGGGGCTTCAGGAGGTTGGCTGGCTGGCTCCACCCTTTGATCCAGCCAGTTTGCTGGCCACAGTGGGCATCATAGTAACCGGTCGTTCCAGTCTTTCTGGCGTTACAGTCGCTGTTTTTTTATATATATAGCTACTAGAGGCCCAGTGCACAAAATGCGTGCATGGGCAGTGGGGAGGGGGGCGTCTCCTCAGCCCTCTCCAATCTGGGAGCCCTCAGGGGATATCCTACTGATGGCTTAGGCCTGCTCCCCATCGTTCTCTGCTGTCTGCAGGGCCCGCTTGGCCACTCCCGGGTCGCTGCAGGCGATGGCCAAGTGGGCCCTGCTGTGCGTGGTCTGTGGGGCCCGCTTGGCCACTCCTGGGTTGCTGTGGTGATGGCCAAGCGGGCCCTGCTCTCAGTGCCCGCCCCCCAGGACTGGAGGACTCCAGTAGGGCTGAGAGGACTGGCCACCGCTATCTTGTGGCTATGGGAGCCGCCATCTTTTGTAGGAGTGATGGTTAATTTGCATATTACTCTTTTATTAGATAGGACTAGAGGCCCAGAGCACAAAATACATGCATGGGTAGGGTCCCTAGTGGCTGCTGGCTTCCGGCTGCCGGCCAGAGCCTCCCTTCCCTAGGCTGCCTGCTGCTGCCACTGGCTGGAGCCTCCCTTCTGCCTTGGCCTGGTGCCGCCTGCTCGCCTGCTCGTCCATCTTGCTGCAGTCTTGCTCTTGTTGGGGCCCATTGGGGCCGGTAGTGCCCTTACTGCTGCTTGCTGCCAGTGCTGCTTCGCCAACATCTGCCACGTTCTACACTGCCCCCTGGTGGTCAGCACACTTCTAACTCCTGGTCAATTGAACTCCCGCCTGTGGGGACAATTTGCATATTAGCCTTTTATTATATAGGATATATCTATATCTGTATCTGTATCTATCTCTGTCTCTATCCCTGTTCTATCCCTTTGTAGTCATACCCTCACCCACTCATCAACCTTGGAAACCACTGATCAGTGCTCCATCACTGTGGTTTTGTCCTTTTGAAACTCTCGTATAAATGTCATATAAATGTACACAACCTTTTAAGCCTGCTTCTTTTACTCAGCATAATGCCTTTGAGATTCATCCTCATGTACATCGATAATTTGTTGTTACCCACCTTTGATTTCTTTGAATAACTTTCTAATTAGTTGCCAAATCTGGTCTCCCTTTTCTCCTACTTAATGTGGTTTTTCAATACCCAGAATTTATCCCTGAAAACATGTGATTCTTTCTCTTTATTAAAATTTAATATTACTTGCTATTCTTTCCCTCTCTTCAAAAGGCAGCAGGCTCTTTAAATCAAGGTTCTTTAAGTGTATTTGCTTGTGAAGCTCTCACAGTAAAAGCTTTCTGAGAATGAACCCCTAATACAGGTATATTTATTTATTTGCAGCTAATACTGCTGAACTCATATTGTGTATATTACCAAACATACATGAAAATAGTAAATTTAAAAAATAATAAATAGATAAAAAATACCAATTCTAATGGTTTGCTTTCTATTCTCCAACATATCTGTGCTGCTGCTGTGGGGTAGGTACCTCAATTTAGAGACTACCAGCTGCTAGGAAGCTAAGATCGGGTATGATTTCTCACCACTAGCCCCAACACCAGAAGGCTAGCTGAGCGCTAGCCCCATTGGAGTTACTTCCTTTGGTTACTATCAGGCATTGAAGTATCAGGGACCAGACACCGTAAGTACTCACTGCCAAACAGATCTGCACACATTGTTGTTTTCTCAGTTGACTCCCAAATCCAGCTGCTTTGCCTAGATTCTAGCATATTCCCCAGAATATGACCCATTCGAATGACTTTTCCTTGGTAGAAAATGGAACTGTAGCAGTTCCAGGAAGCTTGTGAAACAGGACAAGTTGGTCTGCACTGCCCAGTCTCTCCCTTGTGAGGTAATCAGCCCTCTCCATCCCCTCTAGCTTTCCATAGTTTGCTACTAGCATAGACTAACTGAGATGCTGGTTTAGACTTCCTCAGCAGCAGACCCTTAGACAAGCGTTTGAGAGCAAGAAGTTTATTTGGAAGGTGAAGGCAAACCCAGTAGGGGAGTGGGGAAGTGAGAAAGGAAGGAGAAACAGCCAAGATAGCCAAGAAAGTGTAAGTCTAGCCTACAGAGGTGGAAAGGCAACCACTTTTCTCTACCCTCTCAAAAGTCTAACTGCAGCATTGTAATTAGGACCACAGTTCATTCTCATTTTTACTTTGCCTCTCCCATTTCACATCCTTGTTAAGTACTATAAAATAGACATGTCTACAGGAACACCCTCGTCTCTCCCTTACTTCTTCTTCTGGCTAACTCTTAACTCTAGCTGCTCAATCATCAGGTCTTAGCCTGACCACCACTTCTAGAAAGCCTTCCCTCATCCCCTTTTTGTGATGGGGCTCTTTCTCTGTGTCCACCTATCTGTCCTGTTAGAGATCTTATTATACTGTATTTCATTTATTCATATAATAAATATTATGTGCCTGGCACTATTTTAGGTACCTGGAGCTTATATTGCAATAGGGGAGAGAGATTTTTAAAAATATGTTTTAATTGATTATTAGAGAGAAAGGGAGAAAGACAGAAACATTGATTGGGCCCTAGCTGGTTTGGCTCAGTGGATAGGGCATTGGCCTGTGGACTGAAGGTTCCCGGGTTCGATTCCAATCAAGGGCACATGCCTGGGATGCTGGCTTGATCCCCCATAGGGGGCATGCAGGAAGCAGCCAATCAATGATTCTCATCACTGATGTTTCTATCTCTCTCTCTCCCTCTCCCTTCCTCTCTGAAATCAATAAAAAACACACAACAACAACAAAAAACATTGATCGGCTGCCTCCTACATAACCCCTACTTGGGATCAAGCCCGCATCCTGGGCATGTGCCCTGACCCAGAATCAAACCAGTGACCTCTTGGTACATAGGTTGATGCTCAACCACTAAGTCACACTGGCCAGGTGGGGAGACAGATTTTAATTTCTCATTTACCTATGTGTGTGTCTCACCTAATTGTTTCCATTTTCTTCACCATTTATGTCCGTCCCTCAGCACAGTGCCTGCCACATAGGAGATGTTCAATAAAAATATGTTGAATTGAATGAAACAGCACAAGGCATCTTAGTTAAGGATGATTTGGTATTTCTGTGGCCTTTTCTGGGGGGAAAATGAGCTCTCACCTTTCCTATTGGTTGTTACCCTATGGTGACGTGCCCATTGAAAGATAAATTGACCCATTATTTTTTCTTTTTTTCAGACTAAGACAACACATCCATCTTCAGCTGGAGGAAAACCAGATAACATCTGAGTAGAAGCTGGAAACATCATTTTACAAACATATAAGGTGCTGACTGAGGCAGTGTAATGTAATGATTATAAGCAAAGGTTGTAGAGTCAAAGTGCCTGGGTTCATATCCCAGTTCTGCTACTTATTTGCTGTTTGACTTTGGGCTATAGTTCCTAATTCGTAAATAGGGATAATAGTAGTATATGTCTCATACAATGATGTATAGATTAGGTAAGGTTAACACATTTAAAATTTGTAAGTGTCTAGAACATAGTAAGTACTCAATAAATGTGATACTGTCATTGTGATTTGTTAACATACATGAACACATTCATTTAATAATTGGAAGCTGGCTATAGGACTCTGTGGTGCTCAAAGTTGCATTTCAGCGTGCTTTGTACAATGGAAAAATATGGTTAAATTCTTCATTTTAAGCAAATTTTAAGTTTTGGACAAGTCACATATAGGGCACAGCCAATCCAATTCATAATCCAGAAGCTGATCATTAAAATAACTACCTAAATCACAAGTTCTTATCCTTTTTTTCTTTCTTTCTGAGATTAAACAAATATTTGCATTTGGTGCTGGAATGCCAAGAGGAATGAAATGGATTCTTTCCCTTCAGGGTTTCACATGTAAAAGGACAAATTACAGTGCACTTTGGGAAGTTCTATAATTGGACACACACATGGCTTTGAGTGCCAGAAGACAGAGTGACTAAGTCCCCTTTGGTGATTCAGGAAAGACATCACACAGAGGAGGTGACATTTGAACAACCGTATAGACCATAGCCATCATTTAATCACTGGATTGAATAGGCATTTGGCTGGAAACTCAGCCATACAGTGACATTATCCATTATTTTTTGGGGGGGAGCCTGGCTAATTATGTTATCATTTGCAATGTGTACGGCAGCCTCCTCAGGTTCTGGACTTGCAGTTCCTGCCATAGAAAACTGTATGGTTACATTATCTCATAAGAGGCCCTCTGATAATATTTAATATGCTAATAAGAGTAGAGAAGCCCAGAGCTACCTTTCCAGTTATTTTTAAAGTGACTCCATTAGTATAAATATCAAGCTAGGTAACTGCTTTACTGGATCTCCTGTGGTACCAAATTGCAGAAAGGAATTGGCTAAAGAGTAGCTTGGGTGGGGTTATGAAATAATTATGTCTGGAGTCCTTTAAATCCTACCTCTCTATGCCTAAGGCCAGTAAGATAAGGCCATACGCTGTGTAACCAACTAGGAAGAGTTTGGGAGGAAAATTGCTGTCAGTGCAGCTGCACTCAGCGTGAGACCCTAGGAACAGGTCACCCCTGATTGCCTCAAAAGACAGCCGAACTGTGGCTGGTGGCATCCTCACTTCGATTATTCAAGTGTGTCCTCGCTCCTCATCTTCTCAAACTCAGCAAAATTACAGGTCAACTTTCCTTTTCCTTTCTGCTGATGGTGGGAGGTGAATCTCCCTTTCACAGATGGGTTCTTCAGCAAGCGGCTAATTGAATAGCTGGAGGAATAAAAATGTCATATAAATAAATTTGCAGCACAGCACCCAGCAGCTGCCCCTTTAACCCATGCTTTTTTAAGTCCTAAGGAGGAATGGTTAGTGATTCCACTTCCTTTTCTTAATTGTACTGAGAGGTTACTGTAATGTTTCCTAGAAATCATTCTTGATTTACCTAAAGAGTCAGCCATTGAATGCTTTTCTGCCCTTATTTGCCAAAATTCTCTTTTATACTTTGTACTGATGCATATTATTTATGCAAACAGCGGCCTGGTCCTGCCCTTACAGAGCCTGGTCCCCTTGGAAGCAGTCATGTGATCACAGCCCATTACTTGAGCACATCCCTATCTTCTAGCCTGAAACAAGGCAGGGTTGGGGCAGAAAGCTGTGGCTGCTGGCCAGAGCTCAGTCTTTCCCGGATCTGTGGCTCTGGGCTCGGCTGCCAGGCTGAAAGGCAAAGCAGCTGTGGCCTGTTTGGGTTATTTCTTTGTGTGTGCGGGTGTGTGTTTATTTCTTGATTTTTTTTAAGCCGGAGCTTATCCTGCAGAGAGCTGCAGAGATGTGTGGAGTGCGTGTGTGTATGTAGGGGGTGTTCCAGAGAGAGCTGACTTCTATCTTTTTTCTTTCAGACTTCAGTATTCCTCATAGAGAACGTTTTTTTGGGGGGTGAGGAAAAACCTCTGCATTGGCCAAGCAAAAGAACCAGGTAATATGTTTGTTTGTTCTTAGGTATTTGGGGGAAGCAGAAGTCTACATTATAAACATATATCATGTAGCAACAAAACAGGGAATGTGTACTCCTTGGAGTTTATTTGATTGCTTTGCAATTTCTCAGATTGATTTTTCTCAAGGATGCTGATTGCAAATCACTTGCCATCATCTTAAAAAATGTGCACAGATGACTTTGCAATCTAAAGGGTTATGGCCTATTTCAAATGAACATGATATTTGGAAAAACTCTGTGGTCACTTGGGTGAGAGCTAGAAAAGGAGGGAAGGGATACTTTAAGAAACTCTTTTAGGCGCTTCATGGGGTGTTCCCTAAACCCCATTGTGCTACTTCGTGTTCAGAATGTTCAGAAATCTTTTTTTAGCTCCCTTGGCCTCTTGTTACCACAGAGCACCACAGGGTTTCCATCTGTCTGTAAGAAAGGGAAACAGAATTCCCTGCAACATTAAAGAATTCTCATTAGTGATTTAGTGCTTACATAGATTGACCAGGTTGGGTCCTGAAACCAAGGCATAGCAAACTTTTTAGTGGACAGACATTTTTGTTTTTTAAGATTAAACAGAGTAGGTCTTCAGTTCTGCCACTGATCAGCGTGCCACGGAGTACAATATTTAATTTCTGAGTCTCAGTGTCTTCATCTGTAATATGGGAGTGATGATGTCATCTTGAAGATTGCTGTGAAGATTAACTGGATTAATAGAAATACAAAGCATCCACTGTGCTGGGTAAATAATAGTTCCTTAATAAGTAGTGGTGATTTTAGCTGCCATTATTATTATTATTATTATTATTATTATTATTCTGGTATAGTGTTCTTTCATATCTTAGTGTTCTCAGGGAGAAAGAGCCCATATCTTGTGAATCTGCAATTATCCCAGAACCTGTAGACACCCAAGGGATTTAGTCTCTGGAAGGTCCCAGACAATGCATTTGGAAGGAGGAGATTAGAGCAAACATAAGTTTCATTTCACTTCTACCACAGGGGTACCCACCCATGCATAGCCCCTCCTAACTCATCAGCTAAGAATTGCTTCTTCCTCAGATATGTTATTATCCCTAGTTCCTTATGAGAAAACTGAGGTGCAGAGGAATTAATGACTAACTGAGAAGAATTTAACTCTGGTTTGTCTGACTTCTAAACCCCAGGCTCCACTGGGCCAGCATTAAGCAGTTAAGAACCATAGGTGTTTTTGAGATGGTTTCCCTCAAAAGGGTTCCCTGCTAGGCTGTTTGGGAAACAGTGGGCACTGTAGCTCTTTCTTAGAAATTGACGATGCACATTAACATATTGAAGGCTTTGAGGAATCCTGTAGTAAAGAAACCTGTGTAAACCTACTTCTCCTGAACTTATTTGATAATGAGATTTTTTTTTTGGCCTTATCCCTAGAATTATAAACAACATGGAACTACACTTCCACAAACACACTTTGGAAAACCTGGCACCAGGCCAAGTTGCCCCTCATCACAGTCCTTCCTCATATAATAGCAGATACCCTCAGATACCTTCTAGTGGCCAGTATAATTTCCACCCTTTTCTTATCCTTTAATCTAATGAGACCCAAGAAGAATCAGCAGCTCAGTCCTACAGATTTACCCTTATTCATTTAGGACCCCAGACATAAGCAAATGCTACAGTGTTTTACTGGAAAGGTAGTAGTGGAAGGAGCCTCTCTAGCATGGTTTGCCAGGGACTCCTCTACTCTATGCCCTTTAGTTATATTTAGGCCACAGACATCAGGTTGTAGAACCCCTGTTTTAAAAAATATATATATATTTATTGATTTCAGAGAGGAAGGGAGAGGGAGAGAGAGCTAGAAACATCAATGATGAAAGAGAATAATTGATCGGCTGCCTCCTGCATGACCCCCACTGGGGATCGAGCCCACAACCTGGACATATGCCCTGACTGGGAGTCGAACCATGACCTCCTGGTTCATAGGTCTATGCTCAACCACTGAGCCACACCCACCAGGCTAGCACCCCTCTTTTGATGAAGACCAAATGTCATGCAGCGGAGTGAGCCTGAAGAGGTATCTGGAGGACACATCTGTGGTGTCCACAGGGCCAGAGCTAGAATAGGCATTTCTCACAAAAGCTGAGTTTCTGCTAGGAAAAGCTAAGTTTCTAGCATGGGAAACCAACCATAGTTTACATCTAGAATGCCAGAGGTGGAATCAAGATCAACGTGGCTGAGCCAAGGTGTGAGGGTTCAGTAAAGATGTACTTTGAAATAAAATAATGAATAAGAACAACCTGAGGAGACCGGGCTAGCTTAGAGGGTACTTGATGGCCAAGGTTAGCTTGGCTCCAAGGACCATCTTTTGTTCTTTCTTTGTATCTTCACCTTTGGAAATGAAAAGTGGCCAGGATGAAAAGAAATGAACATCAAAACGTTCAACCCTCCACTTCTCCCCCTCACCCCCCTTCCACACATACACTCACAAACACAGTGAAAATCTTTTAGTGGAAGCCTTAGAAACCTTTCATTTTGCACCGTTTAAATGAGTGCCAATGATGAATCACTATTTTATGTTTATGCTTAAAAAGCATCCTCGGTATATACGTATATATCGGTAAGGGATGGTGGCTCTGGGCAAGTTTCAAGCTATTTTTTGACTGACTATAGCATCCTTGGGTCTTTGTGAATGCTCCTGACACTCCCCACCTCTAGAGCTGAAGAACCCATTTCAGGCCCCAGGAAATTGTTTCTTCAGAGACTCTTTAGCACACTAAATGCTTTTCTAATGCTGACAGAGGGCAGGAAATTGAAAGAGCTTATGTTTTCCCAAATAATGGAAAATCCCCAAATCATTTTTATCAGCTTAGCAACTAGCCAGAGCTGTCCTCAAAGGCACATCTTTAAAAACTTGCTTCCCTCTCTGCCTTTAAGTGGATAATTACAGTCTAAGTTGGGCAGTGTGTGGGAGTAGGAAGTGGCATCTGGCTTTAACCAGGTCTTGTTTTGGCGAGAATGAAAATGAACTCTCTTTTTCTTTTTTTTAAATTTATTGATTTTAGAGAGACTGAGGCACTGGACAAGTTTCTGATTCAACAATAGGAAGTGATATATTTCTATCTCCATTTTCTTTTTCCAGAAAAAGAAAGAAAGCAATATTTAATAATGTAAAAATTCTAATAACAACTATTTTTTCTAATACCAAAGAATTCTAAAACAATTCTCATTTCCATCATGATTTAAAAATTTTGTTTAAAAATGGATGTATAAAGTACTATCCATTTTCTGGTTTAATAAAAGGTTTATAATCAAATAGCAGCATCTGTGCACAAAATTATAGACTAATAATTATCTTTAGTTATTAATTTTTAAAGGACTCTGGCTTAGAAATATTCATTTATTCATGCATTTAGCATTTATCAAATACTTGCTATGTTAAAGACACTGTGTAGGTGCCAGAGATTCAAGGAATGTTTAGAAAGTAAGATACCCTAGAAGCTTACAGTCCAGCAGAAATATATTTAACTATGATGCTTTTCAGTTCCTAGTGAATCTTTTATATGGACTTTTGTTGTGCAGTGAATTAACTGAGAACCAAATGCCTTTGGAGAGATATATTGCTTTATTTCTTTTTCTGAAAAAAGAAAATCACTATTGAAATATATCACTTCTTTTTGTTGAATCAGTATTTGTTGCCTACTCAATGCCCAACTCTTATCTCTATACTAGAGGCCCGGTGCACGAAATTCGTGCATGGGGGGGCGGGCGCAGACCAGCCTGGACCCTCTCCAATCCGGGACTCCTTGGGGGGTCCCGGGGATAGGGCCTAAACTGGCAGTCGGACATACCTCTCACAATCCTGGACCACTGGCTCCTAATTGCTCACCTGACTACCTTCCTGGTCACCCTCAACTGCCCTTCCCTGCTGGCTTGGACACTCCCAACTGCCCGCCCAATTGCTGGCCTGGTCGCCCCACACAGTCTGCTGTTCAGTCGTTTGGTCATCCCTCACTAACCCCCCTGCCTGCCTGGTCATAGGCAGCCATCTTGTGAGGGCATGAGGGTTAATTTGCATATTACTTCTTTGTTATATAAGATGTCAGTCCTTTTCTTCCCTGCCTCCCT